CACCTAAACATTGTATCTTTTATTACCTCTACACATAAACATTGTATCTTTTATTACTTTTACACATAAACATTGTATCTTTTATTACTTCTACACATAAACGTTGTATCTTTTATTACTTCTACACATAAACGTTTTATCTTTTATTGCTTCTACACATAAACATTGTATCTTTTATTACCTCTACACCTAAACATTGTATCTTTTATTACCTCTACACATAAACATTGTATCTTTTATTACTTTTACACATAAACGTTGTATCTTTTATTACCTTCTACACATAAACTTGTATCTTTTATTACCTCTACACATAAAAATTGTATCTTTTAATCCTTCTACACATAAACATTGTATCTTTTATTACCTCTACACATAAAAATTGTATCTTTTACTACTTCTACACATAAACATTGTATATTCTATTACTTCTACACATAAACATTGTATCTTTTATTAGTTCTACACATAAACATTGTATCTTTTATTAGTTCTACACATAAACATTGTATATTTTATTACTTCTACACATAAACATTGTATCTTTTACTACTTCTACACATAAACATTGTATCTTTTATTACTTCTACACATAAACATTGTATCTTTTATTTTAGTCACCTTACAATGAGCACTATTCTCTGGTTACTTCCAAATGTAACTTAGTATCTTGTATTCTGGTCACTGGAAAGTGACCATTATCTATGGATTACTTCAATATGTAAACTTTGTGTTTTCCATTTTTGTCACTTTACAACAAGCACTGTTTTTTGTGATTATTTCAAAATATCTGGGAAGGGTAGTATTAAAAAGTCCATTGCATCAAAAACAATGAAAGGAAAATACTTCATTGGCTCCAAGTAATTTGGAACATGTTATACATGAAGAAAAAAAATATCATTATATGTTCGTTATTTTCGATAATATGTTTCAAATTTGTATTTTAACTTAGCAGGATTAGGGAAGATGAAATGATTTGTAATGTCTTGTGGAGTAGTTAATTGATATTTGTATGGAATGTTGTACTTATAGAGATGTTACTTAACAAACTTTAATTCCATGCAGGCTCCCAAAATGTTGAAAAAGTAGGATGTGTAGAAACAGTGAGACATTGTAGAATATCTCTAACATTAAATATGTCCATGTAGGATGAAGTGTGTGGTTTAATATAGAACTGGGGTTCTACTGACGTGAGTACAGCACATGGTAACAACACTGTAAACTAAGGTTTATGTCGAACAGAAGTTGTGAACTGATACTCTGTTGTACAAATGGCAGTAATGAAATATGATGCAGGACCTTTATCTATCATCATGTAAGGTGACATATGTTAATAGATATGTTAATTCAAGAGCGGTTAACACACAAAACACATCGTTGTGGAAATTGTGAAATGGTGAAGATCTAACATGCTATGCATGATCTATCATACCTGTTACTAAATCTCTGCACATTTTTATCCCTATCTGATGTAGTCCTTTCATAGCTGTTATTCACAGCTGTCTGTTGTGTATGTTGTAGTCGGGCAACATTGCAGCAAACACTTTACTCCAGGAGTTCTGTGATTGTTAAATATCATACCTGTTACTAAATCTCTGCACATTTTTATCCCTATCTGATGTAGTCCTTTCATAGCTGTTATTCACAGCTGTCTGTTGTGTATGTTGTAGTCGGGCAACATTGCAGCAAACACTTCACTCCAGGAGTTCTGTGATTGTTAAATATCAATGTGCATTTTCTTTTTTTACTGTTCTACATAAATCATGAGGCTGTGTAGTGCTTGCAGTTTTACATCATATAACTAGTATTTTTTAGACAGCAGGTTTTGTATTACCCACACTTAAGAGGAAATTTAACATACCAGAAATACACATTACAAAAACTTTAGGTTTTATTGTATATAAAAAAAAATTGTAACAAAATTATTAATAATCTTGTAGTTGTTTTGGAATTTCCTTTTATTTCTAGTTGTGTTGTATTGAAAAGCTTCTTGCAATCTACCTTGTTATATTAACTTTATGTACTAGGGTGAAGGGTAAATTGCATGTGCCATGATATTTTACAGAGTGCCATTCAGCATGGTGTTATGTATTTGATGTCAGAGTTATTGACTACATATTTTACTTCTCGTTGTTGATTTAGCAACAGTTCGTGATAGAGGAAGATACTCAATACAGGGATTTTGAGAAAAATTGTAGATATGCATTTCAAAGGTTTGAGGGGCTATACAAATACAACATAGAAACTGTACAATGGAGAGAAGTATTTTTATTCTTCACAAAAAAATCACCTTTAACTCTGACTTGTCATTTCACAAACATATTTTGAGTACAAATGCTAAATTTTTATGTACAACAGACTTGTACATTTGACTTGTACATCCACATGGTAAGTTTGGAATTATTGTCAACATTCTTTCCCTAATGTACGTCTCCCATGTAAATTCCATTAATACAGGTATCTTAATACAGAAAAAACAAGATAAAAATGTATTCAAGACTTTATCCCAAACTTACACTTTCATCTTTGTAGAAGATTTTAATGAGAATAAACAGCATCGTTTGTGTTTATCCCGAGACCGTTCTTTTCTTTTCTTCTAGTGTAATTACCACAATAGAAAAGAGATTTGACATACCCAGCAGGATTTCGGGGGCCATAGCAAGTACTTTTGAAGTTGGGAATTTATTGACCATTATCTTTGTCAGCTACTTAGGCAGTCACAGACACATCCCTGTCTGGATCGGAAAAGGTGAACGATTAACAACAAAATATATTTTATTGTGTGGCTTTGTAGGGTAGTTACTTCCTGATTGTGTTCAATATAGAAAAGAAATCATTAAAAAACAAAATTTAAATAGAAATCTTTGAAATTCCTCTGAAAATATATAGTGACAATTTATTTTATTTAATAAAATTCTCTGTTACTTATCTGTTGAATAAAGCTAATGCAGATATATTGGTATTGTTTTGAACCTGTATCGATGGGTTTTCTATGGTCAGGTCAAAGGGCATGTCATTACGTTTGTAGTTTTGTATTCAAAATATTATTTAATTACTATTTTATGAATCTATGTCAATAAGTTTGGTATCAAATCGTAGATTATAATTCAAATTTTAGTACTATACATCAGTTACTTTCTTAATTTAAAAGTAATTAAAGAAATCCCCCAAATATCAATTTTTGTGTGTCACGTGGTATGTTGAATGTAGCATTGGTTTAAAATTAGATGTTTGTGATGTCCAAGTACAAAGTCTGTAGTTTCTTATGAATTAAAAACTCAAGTTATCGATATTGAAAAGCCAGAATATAAAATAAGAACCTCCTGTCTTTTCTATTTGCTGAGAT